AAAAGGGGGGGGGGGGGGGGTACGTCGGAAATTTGAAAGTTTTGTCGGAAATTTAGGAAGCTTTGCCCCCCCCCCCCCACTGGAAAAAGTGAATTTCCGCCACTGGTCTGAACTACCTGAGAATGATCAAATAGATTAGCACAAACAAGTTAGTCTGCGAACCTAGACAGGAAATAACGTCTGGGTTCGCAGACTAAAACAAGTCGACTCATCGAGGTTTTGCTAAACGTCCATTTCAGCACTAAGTCGTAATAAGTGAGTGGATGTAGGGCCAAAAGACCCGTTTACAATTTTTGTTGCGATCTCTACTGCGATTTTCTTCATCTGATGCATGTTTGTGTACTCTCATGTGAACAATCATAAGTCTTATCCACTCGTTCTCGTCTATCAGAAGAAGAAAATCCGCAGCATGTAAACGGGCGTTTAATGAGTGCCCCTGGGTGGGACAGTCGACCGCAGGTAGGTTCAAGCTTCAACAGAAGCTGGTACTTTTCCATGAACTAAATCAATTGTGGGAATGAACATGGTGGATTTCCCCCTGCTGGTGAATGCATACGACACAAGCAGTGTGCAAATTTCAGTACAGCTCCCAATATATTAAGCGCTGCGTGAACAAAGCCATAGATGTAGGATTAAAAGTTCTAGCTTTTAACAGCTACTGTCGGGGAGGGTAAAATTTCACCGATGTTTAGCATCGTTGTTTAGCATAGATAATTACCTTGCTCGTCTTTTTACTCATTTCCGCAATTGACTTCACTTTTGTGGATGGAACGGCAGATCTAGTGTCTAAGCTGGACTTTTTGGAGCTTTCTGGTTCCGTTTGCCTGCTACACTCCGAGAAATCAGTTGTGTATGAATCCTCTGATTTCTTCGAAGCTTTCTGCGAATGCTTGCTACTCTCAGCTTTGGAGTGTCTTGAGTGCGTTTTCTTTTGTTTCCTAGATGTATCATTTAAAGAACTGTGCTCGCTTGTATATTGTGAGCTGTGTTTTGATTTACTACCAGACCTAGAATGTCTTGAATCATTGCGAGATTTTGAACGTCTGTTACTGAGTGAATACCTATGGGAACTATTTCTGCACGTGTGATCAGTTTCATTACTTTGCTCAGATCTCATGCTATCTTTTGGTCGGTGGGATTTGTCTTTCTTGCTTGAATAATTTGTGTTTTGTTTAGAACCTTGACTTAGATCTTCTTCTATTTCTTCTGATATTTCATCTAGTGTTGGCACCTCCTCAGCACTCTGATTATGACTCGCTGTCTTAATATCATCGTCTAGTGTGACCTTGGATTCCTGTCCACTTAAAACGTTCACATTCTCTGCTGCTTCTGGACGAGCATCAGACAGGTCTGACAGAAGATTCACTGCTTGAAATGGTTTAATGGAACTTGGTTCTGAGATTTCAGAATTTTTCTCTTCTGTTGCCACAGAAGGAAGAGCCAAAATGTTTGGAAGAAAATCATTGTCACTGTTTGCATTTTTGTCTTCTTCATCAATTGGAACTGTGAGTATATGGATATTAGTTATTTGCATGTATGGTGTTCAATGATGAGATTACTGGTTATTATGATGGTGGTGATAATGGTGGTCACAGTGATGGTGGAGTGGATGGTCACAGATGTGTGGTGGTGATTATTGTCACCATGATGATGATGATGATGGTAGTAATAGTGGTGATGTAATGAAAATGGTAGTGATAATGATGGGGTATGGTAGTGATGATGATGATGATGGGGTATGGTAGTGATGATGGTGATGGGGTATGGTAGTGATGATGGGGTATGGTAGTGATAATGGTGATGGGGTATGGTAGTGATGATGGCGATGTAATGGTAACAGTGATGATGGCTATGATGATGATCTGGTGACAGAATTGGTGGTGGTGGTAGAGTGATGGTGGTTAGCAAAAATCATGTTGAATGTGGTGGTGAGCCATTATCATATTCAGGTTGTCATGCAAAACTTCAAATTGACATTTTGAGTGGATAGGTTGGGTCAAAATTATGTTATACTGTGACGTTTTTACTTCTTCTTTATATCCTAGAAAAAGATTTGATAAATAGTGCCAACATGAGTCACATGACCCGGCAGTGTTAAAGGATTATTAATATTCCCAGTCCCCATTGAATCAACTACCTTCTCCGTCAGATACGGATGAAATCGAGACATCCGGCGTCCTATCAATCACTCTGTCAAACGTATTTCCTGTCCACAATCGATTTAACCCAGATTTCTTCTTTATCGTCCCTAAATACTGCTCCAACTCGTCGTCTGAAAATGACAGATCGCCTTCCTCCAACAGACTTGTTTTTCGTGTTACACTTGTGGACGACGTTTGCGAAAACGATCTGGCTTTTTGAAAGGATTCTTTCCATTTCGCTTTCGTAGACATGTAATAGATCGTTTCTGTAGAAAAAAATGTTAAAATATGGCATGGAAAAGCAAGAATTTTTATTGTTTGTAATGTTTTGTTGTCATGTTTTGGCAGTTTGTAAACACAAAAAGGGATGATAGGGTATAAATAGGGTAATGATTGGGTAATGTTAGGATTTACTGAGCTCTGTGTCTATGACCAGTGACCTCAAAATGTTACTGGATTACACTAATTTTTACTGTATAAATTACTTTACTTTCTTATCATCTTATGTCATTGTCGATTGAGTATTAACAAATTAATTCAAAATGTAATAAATTATGTTATTTCTGAGAGTTCTTTCAACGGCAACGATGCCTTTTAAAACTCTATTTGAAGTGATCAAAGTGGGCCATTGACACCAGAAGATGGACACTTTCAAGAGTTTGATGGCAAATGTTTTTATTATTTGCCACCAAACACAAGGTCGTTACATATGAATGGAAATACAGACTTATATTCCCATGCGCTAGCCGCTAGCTATGTTCTATCCTTACTCTGTGGTCTATATATGTCAGTTTACTTGTTTTCCGAAAAGTGTATTAATATAATGACGTAATAATGACATCATGATATTGTGTGTTATGATGTTCATTGTTTTGGCATAGAAAATAGGTCTGAAACATTGTTTATACTTAAAGTATGAAAGTTTATCTACTTCTAACAATGTTATTACAGCTGTGTACGAGCACCGTGGATTATTTCATAACACCATAAACGTGCAACTAGTACAATAGATGACAGGTGCAATATTGTAGAACAACCCCTCCTGCTTGGGAATATCGACCAATCAGAGTCGAGAACGGGCTCACGTGAGAGCAGAGAACAACAACAGTAAAGGCAGTAAAGAACGAATTTTGCAAACGCGTGGTATTAGATTTGTTTTGCTCGTAGGAAGCGAACATTTTTGCATAAAAAGAGGCGAAAGGTTTGTGTATTTGCAGTCTGGCGGATTTATGAACTCGGAGTCGTAGTTGGGAAAGAATTTGGGTCGGTTTACGCATAAAAACTGCTGGAAAATGGCTGATACGTTTCCCACTGCAACTACACTGCAACCAAAGTCTCCCCAGAAAAATGGTCAATCGCATCCTGAAGGGCTTGTCGACAATCACAAACAAAAACAGAAGAAGGTGAAGACTTCACATGATAGCAGCAAAGAGTTGAACGGCGTAAAGACGGACAACCAGCTTTTTATCAAGTCCGCAAAAGACAAGCAACATGATCGGAAATCGCGAAGCGGACGAAAGGGGGCGCCGAAAAAAGGTAGATTTAAATTGCGAATGCCATTATTTTGATATGGTAATATCTTATCCATCTTTTTGTGATATAATATTGTTATTGTGGGTATTGAGCCATAAGGGATTTTGGCAGCTTTTGTGGGTTTTAGACATGGCCCAATTTGGAGTTGCAGCTTTTGGAGCAGGTCTCTCCTGCATAGAATAATATTAAAGTACATTTGTACTGTTGTTTTTGCAAATAATTTCTGTAATATTTACTAGTAAGGACTGCAGAAATAGCAAAATTTTCATCTAAAAGGATGGTTTCATATTTGATCCTCTAATTTTATGCTGATAAATGCGGTTATCGCTTTATAATATATATTATAAATCAATAAATTACAGCTTGTCTGCGCTTAAATTTTTGCAAAAATGGCTAATCTTGCTTTATTAAGGGTTTTATCCACGTCTTTATCAATGATTAACGTATTTGTGTTTAAATTTAATGCTTTTCAGAGTTTGGAAATAAATTTATGCACGTCTAAATGATATGCGACGTGCTCTGGTGCAGGATCGACCACATGCTTCAATTGACAATGCGCTGGCATGGAAACGTATTTTCATCTTGAGATTCAGTACTTTCATGTTGTTTAATTATTGAAAATTAAGTTGTTAGCTAGGAGGTATTTAGATAACCTTTACTGGAAGAGTTTGTCATCCTAGATGAAATAACCGTACAATAAAATATTTTTGTTTAATTATTAACTATTAAAATTAATGGAGACTCCTTTGATTCTTTCCTATCCCAAGTCAATGGAGTGGCAATTAAAATCTCAAAATCTTTTTTTACTTCCTGCCTGTTTTCTGTAGATTTTTGTCATCTCCTGATTTTGTGAAATCCTGAATCCAACCAGTTTTGCCATATCCCTATTTCATTAGGCTATTTTGGACATGTGTTCCAGTTTTCTTGATATTTTTAGTTGAATTTTTACTTTGTTATTTTAAGCTAAAATAATCGTTATTTAAAATGAAACATGAAACTGTAATAAATGTAAATATGGGTCACTCCACACCTCAACTACAGAGTAAATTAACTCATTGGGCACCAGTATTCTCCCCTTGACAATTGGAATTGCCTGGCATTAGACAGTAAAATAATAACTATTGTGCATTGGGGTGCAGTGCAACCTAATGGGTTAAAGATGTAGCAGGGTTTGTTAATTGTTACATGTCAACTTTGTTTACATTTTTGTATTACATTTAACCCTTTAAGTAGCAAAGCACCCTGCTGTGTCCTACTTTATCATTTTACTCAGTCTAACGGCAGACTGTTTTATTCTTCAAGGTAATAGTGCTGCCATTCAACAGGGTTATTCAGACTATCTGCCAATGCATCCTAACATTTCAAGTAAAAATGTGCCCTGGTGCACCCCATTTTATTATTTTACTTTGTCTAACACCAGACGATTTTGCTCTTCATGAGTGCTGCCATCATGAGTGCTGCCACTCATTGAGTGATTATATTATATTAGGTGGGGCAGGTGGTAAAGGAACATGGGGAAAACCAGGGGAAGTTTATGATGATGAGGACATGATGAATGATGAACTAGACCCAAACTATGACTCCGAGGAAGCCGAGGTAAAATTTATAAAATTCGCCAGAAATAGTTTTCAAAATACCAGTTGATATCCATTGAATAATGTCACATCCTAAAGGCCATTTTCCACTTCAACCAATATATCGTATCCAAGCGTAGCATATTTCGTTGTTTCCTGAACACTAGAGTGGAACTAATGACTTGGACACAAAAGAAAATGCTACGACATACATTACGATACGGTTGAAGTGGAAAACTGCCTTAATTCAAGTTGCAAAGTATGCGAAACATGAAATTGACGTATTGGGTGGGTGTATAGGTGGGTCAAAATGCTGTGATGTTTTTGCCATGGCCATATGGCAATCAAAACTGTGATCTATTACAATCACAATTAATAAGCAACTTAATTAATGTCAATTGTAGCCATACAGTGCTAATACATGACTGTAACTTGAACTTATCCCATGATTATAGGAACCATACCTTGAAGAACTAAAACCTGAACTGACAGAAGAAGAATTTAACAAATTCATTGAGCCAGTCATTCAAGTAGGTGTTGCTGTATGCACTAGAAGATTTAAAATTTTCATTTGATAATCCCTAGTCTGCCCTTAGCTATTGAAATATGTTTCCTGGAGTGACCCATGAAATTAACATTTGCTCCTAGCATCCATCAGGAATATCTCCAACCATGCAATTTAGTGTTTGATCCAAAAAACATTTTATTAGAAAACGTCGGACGTCTGACTATTGTTTCAGTCCCTGTTTCTCATGGCGCTATATTAATTGATTATAATGTCTGATCTTCTTTGTCTAGGAATATTATGAACATGGTGAAACACAAGAAGTTATTGTAAGTTAATCATTGATATTAAAATTGTCTGCAATGTAATAATTTATTGTGCATTTTTTCATTACAGTAATAATTCATATGCTACAACTTAAGTGACTTGAATACCAGTACTGCATTGTCTAATGAAGGCAACCATCCCATCTTTGGATAGTGGATGGCAGTCGTTTTCAAAAGGCAAACATGTACTGATTAAAAGGATTACTTTTATTGATTTAATGCTTTATTATGTAGCAACTGTCAGTGTGCAGGGAATTAACCTGGGCAGTGAGTGCCAGCATTCTCCCCCTGACAAGCAAAATCGTCTGGTATTAGGGGCTGATTACATGGAGAGTTTTCAGCCCGGGCTGCCTGGTTAAACGAGCTGAAATTGCATCACAATTACATGAGCAGTTTGAGCCCGAGCTGAGTTAAGTCAGAGCTATATTTTTAGTCGACCCGTTGTTAGTCAGAGCTATATTTTATTATAGTCAACTCTCCACTTGACTAGTAAACTTGTATGGCGTTAGGCAGAGTAAAATACTATTTAAGCAGGGCGCATCAGGGTGCATCGCCACTTAAAGGGTTAATTTTATTTTTTGTCTCAGTTATCCCTGAATGAGCTGAACATCCTGTCATCTATGAAACACAAGGTAAGTTTGATTAAATAAGAAAACAGCCCTTGACCAGTAAAAGTGTCTGACATAGACAGAGTAGCTTGTAGTAAATATAACAAAACAAAACAAGATGTGAGTCTAATTGCTACTTAATCAGTCAATTATATATCTCGTTTGATAATTTCTTGATTTAAATTTTTTTGCAGATTCCAGCTTTAGCCGTAACCCTTGCAATGGAAAAGAAGGTACACATTAAATTTCCGAGATTATCAAATGTTAATTAATTAGCAGGAAAATGAATATTTTAACAGATTATGTTTTTCTCTATTAAGAATATAGGGATATGAAGACAGAGTTTTTTTAATGGTATATTTTGTCTATGCTTCAGGATGCCCAGAGAGAAATGGCATCTATTCTGATATCTGATCTTTATGGTGTGATTGTAACTGAAGATGAAATTTCTCAAGGTAAAAACACATTGAACTAACCAATATCAATCTAAATCACCTACGAAACATTTTACTTTGACCATTGTCCAAGAAAAGTTGATACTAGTAAATGTCCGATCATATTTTGTCTTGGCCAGACATTTGTCATTCCAAGCAAAATAATTATTTGCAGGTTTGCATTAAGGGTTTTCTATATTTTTTTTAGGATTTATGGATGTCCTGGATGATTTGGAAGATATTACTTTGGATACTCCAGATGCTCCAGAAGTAAGAGTCATAATTTTTATTACCAATAAATAAATATTGTAAGCATGATAGTGGAATTGTAATACTGGCACAGTAATTGTACAACTGTAATGTACTACAATGCGTATAGGGATTGAATTTTATGAAACATCTCTCTGAGCATGTTTTGGTAACAAAAGTATTTTACGTTCATATATTTGCAGCCACAAGTGAGGTCCTTTCAATATATGAAAATGTTTCATGCTTCCAAGTGCTCATTTTTTTAACAATGTTCAGGTGCTGGGCAAGTTCATTGCACGGGCAGTTGCGGACGACTGTCTACCCCCTGCATTTGTGAAGAACTACACGGAAGACACAAGTGCAGAATCACTTCAGAGAAAAGCTTTGAGCAGAGCTGATGTCTTACTGAAAATGAAACATGGCATGGTGAGGCTTGATAATGTTTGGGGTGTCGGAGGTGGACGACGTCCTGTGAAGCAGTTGATTAAGAAAATGGTGTTGTTGTTGAAGGAATATCTTTCTTCTGAAGACATTGAAGAGGTAGTTTGGGTAGAAAGTATATAAAATAAAGTGCAATGAAAAATTTGTAAACAAAAATTTCCAATAGGAGTTCCTCTTCCTTCTCCCGATTTCCTATACAGATTCCTATAGGATGTTCGGATTTCTACACAAATACAAAGTTCCTAAAAGAACTCTTATGGGAATTATATGGGAATTTCCTGTAGAAAATTTTCTGTAGGAATGGGAGACACATTGACCCTGGAAAAGTTCAGGGAAATTATTGTGGTAATGGTGACAGGATATTGCTTTTCCAAATTGAAAACTACCCCCCCCCCCCAGTAAATCAATACGTGGATAAAAATAGGAATTAAATCAAATCAATGTATTCAAAGCAAAGTGAAAAACCAAAGTTAAAATATGTTTGTCTTTCCAGGCCAGTCGTTGTTTGGAAGAACTGGAGGTGCCACATTTCCATCATGAGCTTATTTATGAGGTGAGGTTTTCATTTCTTTCATGTCCTAGTACGTCTTCCCTGGCTCATTGACTCATGCTATTCTTATTACAGGCCATGGTTATGTTGTTTGACAAGGAGGATGCAAGAGTTGTCAAGAAAATGGTGAAGTTGTTCAAAGCATTTACTTTAAGTAATATTGTCACACCAGATCAGTTCATTTCGGTACGTCGATATATTGACAAATTATATAAGCATAAAGACAGCCGGAAACCTCATAATCATACGTCACCAAATCACGGTATACCATATCGTTGTTTAGGGATTTGAACGCGTGTATCGCTCTATGGACGACCTGAGTCTTGATTCACCGCATGCATATCAAATCCTGGAGACATTTTGCAGTGACTGCCTTCGGGAAAATGTCATCACTGAAGAACTGAAAGAGAAAATGCCAGCAAGGTAAGTGACTAGTTCCTACAATCTAATTGGTCGAAATTGGCTGAACTCTCTGACGTCATTATTGCTAAGCCTAGTACTTCTTTGCAAGCATGTTACGTAAGATCCAATTTTTGTTTTTCTCTGTTGTATTGTGAACCTCTATTTTGGGCAATTTGCTGGGGGGTTGGAGTCATGCCACAAATTTGTGCGGGAGTGCGATAGAAAATCAGTAAGATCTCTCATAAATCTTCAACTGACGGCTTCATTTTATACTGAATCGCCCAGTCTTTTGTGGATATTTGAAGTTACGATCGAAGTTATACTCGCCCCAACCATCTTGGTTTTTTCGAAATTTTTGAACATGAAAAAAGTTAAGTGCTTCATCTCATTGGGTAAGTTCACGTTGTGTGAAATTCTAAACTAAGATGTTAATAATTCGTTACTATATAAATTGAATCTTTAATATCTTCTATCCCGAGTTTTCCTAGTAATCTAAATATAAACTTAGATATTCAAACACGTATTATGCAAGAGTTTTTTTACGTTTAGGGGACGGAAAAGATTCGTGAGTGAAGGTGATGGCGGTGTGTTGAAACATTGACCTCTGGCAAGCTGGAAATCTGGGCACCCCCACCTGGCACTGTGGAATATGTCTTTTAATTGGTTTGCGTGTATTGTTTGAAAATGATATGAATTGTTATCAACGGTCTTGTAAATAGAAGAGAATGCGCAAAACGGCAGCTCTAAGCTGTTCGAGTGAAATTTTAAAGTTTTGGGGTATTTTACTGTTGCTTATGTCGGTGTGACATCTTCAATTTTAATTCTTTGTAGTGTCTTTGTAGCATTACCAACGTGTTCTTCATTTTTGCTTGGCAAATTCTCACATCTCAGCGCGATATGTTCTTAACAGACTTGTAACAATACTGTCATTTTATCGAATTTGCACGAGTTTGTCACTCGGAACTTCTTAACAGTAGAAAAATTCGCGATAATTCGCGTACTTAGGAGGTACAGGAGGTACGCCATTATTACGATCTGGTACTTGCATTTTGCTGGTACCATATGGTATATGATGGTAGCGTATGATGGTAGCGTATCATGGTGGTAGCGTAAGATATACATTATACGTGGCCATCCATTATGCTGTATATCATCATACAGGCTTACTTTTTAAAACTGAACCTCACCCCCTTAACTCTAACGGGGGCAATACCCTAACTAGGGGATGGTGAGGATGTTGTCAGTAGCGTGATGATACATGTTCATAGTTTTATAAAAATTGATGACGTCATACCGCAATAAGCGAATGTAAATTGATCATAGTTAGTTGTGTCATGTTTTACCGCTGACAAACATTGGGTTGCTCGCATGCACTGGGCACGAGTGGGAAGCATTATGGTCGTGATTGTACAATAATATAAAGTGATGAACTTATGTAGTGGGTGCATGCCAGGCCCGATTTCCAGCTATGTATAACGATGTATTACTAATTGAATTTTCGCCGTTGTCAATAAATATGCTGTGAACATTCATTTGTCGCATTACGGTTTTGACTTGGTTCAAATGTAGCCTGCGTAGCGACTCTCAGGGGGAGGGGAGGGGAAGTGGAGAGCAGATTTGTTCAAACGTGGCCTACGTAGCGACTCTCAGGAGGAGGGGAGGGGAGGCTGGTTCAAACGTGGCCTGCGTAGTGGCTCTCAAGGGGAGGGGAAGGAAGGGGTAGAGCAGTCCCGTTCCAACGTTTCGTGTACCGGACCTAAATGACATTACGTTCAGCATATAATATTCGAGAGTTTAAGCTTCGTGTTTATACATCAAACCAGAGACGGATTTTCATATTTTCGTTCGGGGGGGGTGGATAAATATCTGAGGGGGTGCTAAAACTGTGATGTATAATGTTCTTTTGACATAAGAAAGAAAATAGGAAGCGAAGAATTTATACGAGAATCCTGCAAAGAACATTCGACTCTGCCGTTTGCGGTTCAAACGTGAAGCTTAAATTCCCTATTAAGCGCGATGTCTGAAACAGGTCGAAGAAGGAAGCTAGTCAACTCGGCCCACTGACCAACTCGGCCCATACCATCTTAATTGGCCCAATTGTTAACTACTGTTTGACATATTAGGAAAGTTAATATTTTACAAAAAATAGCACCAAACCAATACAGCCATTTGTAGTTGCATTGGGCGTACAGATGAGTAAAGTTTGAGAACATCCAGTTTGACTTAAATTAAAGTATCTATCGAAGTTTCAAATTCTCGATCTGTCCTTTTTGATACTAAACTACTGTCATTCAAATCTCTCTCAAAATTTGCAAAGCTAGAACACAGTTATGGTTCCTAGCTTGTTTAATGGTTAGATTAGTCAGTTTACAAACGAGCGGAGTTGGTCCTTGAACGGTTGGCCGAGTTGGTTAGTGGGCCGAGTTGACTGTAAAGCCCGAAGAATAACCTGCGTAGTCTTTTAGCGGCGAGAAATAAGAGGAGTAGCTTCGTTTTGTGTGTAGAAGTAACTAAGTCATGGTTTCAACAAAGTTGCATTTATTTTTCAAGCTGCATAGATTACACCATAGTGTCAGGCAATTACGAAAGGCAATTACGATTATTTAAATCTTATGATGTATGCTTCATTGCGTTTCTTTGTTTTGCCTTTTCTTTACCTCGGCTCATTTAATTGTTATTACTTGATAAACGTCTCACTAATCTGAAGTGTATCAGCGCATTTTGCGTGCAATAACTCCAGGTTCATATCGCAGTGTCGAGGTGAACTAAGTTTTTTACCGATCACCCTAAAGCCAGTTTTCCACTTCAATCGTATCGTACCAAAACGTAGTGTATTTCTTTGTTTCCTGAACACTAGTGTGGAACTAATGACTTCGACACAAAAGAAAATGCTACGGTACGATACGATACCGTTGAAGTGGAAAACAGGCTTAAAGATGCCCCATAATCGTTGTGTTTCGCCCACGAACATATTTTTGTTAGACCTTTAAGGCTGATTTACAGCACTGTTGCGTTTTTCATACGTATAGGTATACGCACGTAAAACTTTAAATCCGTTTAAATGTTACTTATGAAATAACCAAATAAATAAAGCAACAGAATTTAGTGTTCCGCAAGTTTTAGTATGCATTTGTTAACTTATTTGTAAAATATTTAAAAAATAGAAAGATTCAAAGTTTTACGTGCGTCGGTGCGTACGAGAAACGCATCAGTGGAACTCGTCAAACCAATTGCGTCTGTGGCTACAAACACAATGATGGTAACTTTTAATTTTGCCTTGGTTCGGTTCGGTTCACAGGGACAATACAACCATATAACCATAACCAATGCCGCGTTACTAAAGTAATTAATAATTTCCTGTCCTATACAATAACTGTAACGGTGCACTGATCAAATACTTAGACTTCTCATACATGACTGGTCATGAACAATATTTTATTGTCGCTGGTATTTATGGTAACCATGCAAAACCTTCTCATAATCCTTCCATAATCTTCAAAAGAAGTCTGGAAATATAAACATATCATTGCATGCGGCCATTTTACGGCGAACTCGGTCTAAATTATAGAAAACAATGACAAATTCCGAAAGCGCCGTGGCAACGCTATCATGCGGCGATAATACTTGTGCAAATCACAGTGACAGGGCAACCGACACCACAGGGCTGTTTTATTAGTTTATTTGATCCATCCTTTCAGCCTCAATCAATTCTGAAGTTTGACGTTAAATATTTAAGCTAAGTCTTAGGGGAACCAAATCAGTAAGTGGGTATGTACTTCGCTTTCCGTTTGCTTTCTTTGCCTTGGCAAATTTATGTAACGGTTCACTGACTGATACTGTCAAAATGACCCGAATATTAAACAGGTCAAACAGTTCTATAGAAATGTTAATGACAAGCCTAAGATCATAATAGAAAGGAACTCGGTGACTGCCTTTGTACATACATGACTTACATGTCTACGTGCGCCAATAGCGAATTGGCGTTTTGATATTGACTAGAGATGTCACGGGTAGTTGCAACACAAGTTGCTGTGAAAGATTTGCAAGACGTCCAGAAAACAGAAACAGAACCATCAGAAAGCGAGAAAGTAGTTACTGTTGATCCGAAAGCGTCGCTCAGCTTCAGAGGTTTGTCAATAATACTTAATCTTGACTTGGGTATTCGTAGCGACAAAAAGATGAAATCTTTCAAAGTAAAGTAACTGTTATATTTCGGAGTGTTCCGAACTTATGTTTGCATTGGTCCTGGCGAATTCGGAACCATATCAAAATTTGCGCGGCCGGGCATGTATCCATGATAATCCTGCATACAAATGTGCAGATGAGCATGTCATGGTGCCAAGTTTGTTCGGATGTAGGATCAGGGTTACTGTTATAGACTTATAGTTGCTGCTGTTCTGTGCTAATATCATGATTCAGCCCAGGATGGCTTTCGCTGAAGAGAAACAACTGAATAAGAAATTAGCCTGAGATAAATTTGTCTACAGTGTCATGTTTGCCAACTCTAATTCTACGACTAAGAGTATTAAGGACTTTTCACTGACAAGTAAAATTGTTTGACATTGGACAGACATTCGGCTGAACAGACCTAGTACGACTGTCGGAATTGTTCATCTAGATTGTTATCTGAATTGAGTTCAATAAGTTTTTCTGGTTGATATATTTTGCGTCTGCTGGGACAAAGCGCGATTTAACCGGTACAATTAGCCGACATATGACAAGACTTTTTCTCGACGTTTTCGCCTCTTCGGAGTGTTTTTGCAGTCTAGCTATGACTGTCGTGTCCAAAACGACAACGAACCTAACTAGTGTTCTAACTGACATCTTTCAGTGAATATGGGGTAGTTATTTTATTCATTATACCTTCGTCAACACACCATGTGTGATCAACCATAACGGTTTATGAGGAGGCATATGCATAATAAATAGACAGACAGCAGGGAGTGGTAGCAGAAAAATGCGTCTCAAATATAGCCACTGATCTGAGGTTCTAATTATTCGTTATTGTTGGGAAAGAACACGTACTGTCTAGAAATTGACCACCAGCGGGCAGCGGCCTCTCTTGATCTCTCTTTCGCCGTCTTAAAATTGCTGGGTGAAATACTAATGAAAGCAACATGGCCCCGCGCGAGGCCCCGCGAGTCTCAATATCATGCGCCAGAATCAAGCGTGTAAAACGACGTTCTCAAATTCATTAATAATTCATGAAAATTCAGCCAATGATAATCACTTATTTGATCACAAGATGCTATTTAGATAACCCGGTGAAACTTGATGAAAGTCACTATACAGGGTGTCTCAAAAAAACCCAAAATCATTGAAATAACGTATTGTTCGAATTTCAATGCCGTAACACAAAGGATTTTGACAGGGTGATTAATTTGTTTTAAAAAATTAAAATATCTTTGTAAAGTGAACGTTTGTTTGCTCATGGGAATTTAAAAATGCTTCGTAAATTCGTGGGTTTAGTACTTTATGCCTGACATAACAAGTTTACGCTGAGTATTACTATTCATTATAGCAGTTATGTCAATCTTTTATGCACTGTTCGATATTCAATGCCCTAGCACTAAGTTAATCCCACGAGTGCATAAAAGATTGACATAACTGCTATAATGAATGGTAATACTCAGCGTAAACTTGTTATGTCAGGCATAAAGTACTAAACCCACGAATTTACGAAGCATTTT